CACGTTGTGCTAAAGGGGGGTCTGTCCATCCCCGATAAAAAAACGATCTCTCGACATTTGAACATGCGTTGGAGCTCTAGTATTTGTTCCCCCCTATCTTCGATCCGACTTCCGCTCGCCGTCCCGATCTCAGGCCTGGGCGGGCAAACGTGACCATCGAAAAGCACTCCGGCGGGATCGGCTGTGTCAAGTCCTCTCGGGAGGCCCCGCCGCGCGGCGCACCCGGCGCCGCGGGGGCGCCCCGCGCGCTGCGCCGCCCCCGAGGGGCCGGGGGGCGGCGGCGCGCGCGAGGCGTGGAGGGCCGGCCGGCGCCTCCCCGAGGAGCCGGGGGCCGACGCGGCGCAGGAGCGGCCTTGCGCCGGAGGGACCTCCTTGGTGCGGTAAAACGACGCTCGGGGGTGGACAGAACCCCCACCCTGACACGTCGATTAGTGAATTGTCCGTTCTCGGTTCTCGAGAGGGCGAGGCGGCCGTTATTTTCCAGGCTTGCACCCGCCAGGTTTGGGCCTCAGGCCGTTTTCACTAAACCACGTTTTACTAAAGGGGGGTCTGTCCATCCCCGAGAAACGACGCGAAGATCGGGACAAAATCGGATCGGGACAACTCGAAATCTCTGAGAATCGGCGGGTTTGGAGGATGTAATGGGTGCCGCGGCCGCTCCAGAGCGTTCCAGAACGCTCTGAGAGCGCTCCGGAACGCTCTGGAGCGATTCATCCCGATCCTAGCCCTGTTTTATGCGGGCGCAGAGGGGCCCTCAGATGGCCGAAAATCACCACCCACCAGACCATCCCAACCCGACCCGAAGCCCTCCATCTGCCCTCCAGTTCCAGTGGGGGGGGGGGTCGGGGAACGTTGGAAAAACACATGGAACCCGCACCCCCCCCCCCAACCCGAAATTGGGGTCAAATTCGGGTCTTCGGGTTGGGTTGGGGTGGTCTTGTATACGTAGTCAGAAAGCGAAGCGGTAGCAGCGGCTTGCGCGCCCAGGTTTGGTCTCCCCGCGGCCCCCACAGAGCCGCGCACCAGAGGTCACTCGTGCCCGGGGTCTCTCTTGCGTGTAGCCGAAGGGAGCACAGGGGAGGCGGGGCAGGGCGGCGGAGAGGGCGCGGCCGCGGGCCTGCTGGAGAGGGACGGCGCAGAGGTGTACTCGGGGATGAGCGCGGAGGACTCTCGGGCCGGACGAAAGGGGGGGATTGGGAGAGGGGGGGGTACGTAATCTGCTGCATGCAGCTGGTTTCGGCCCCGCCACCGAGCCCATTCCTCGATACATGGGCGCCTCTGGCTTCGGGAGGCGCCAGGAAAATCAGCTGCGTGAGCTGATTCTCAAACCCCCTCCCTTTGCTTTCCCCCCCTTTCGCCCGGCCCGGGAGGACGCCGTGTGGGCCGAGAACGTCACTGGCGTCTTTTTGGCCGTCGTGCTCGTGCTAGGGGTCCTCATCTGCGGCAATTGCAGGTGACTTGCAGCGAGCTGTAGCGTCTGTGCCTCGAGGCTCGCACGCTCGCCAGTCTTCGGCCTGCTCAGATTTCTAGAGGCTTGTGGCGCGAGCGGTCTTCTATGCGTGCCCCTCTCTGTGAGCGAGGAAGACCAGAGTGTCTCTGCCGACGGCTGCGATACGCGAGGCGCAGTTCGTCTGCTGCTGAGACTCTTGCCCACACGCTTGAATCCGCGGCGCCTGTGAGGTGCGCTGTGCTGGCCGCCGTCGCCGCCGCGGCCGCAGCCCCTCTCTGCACGCCGCCCCCACCTGGCAGAGGCTGGCATGTAGCCTGCCGCAGCATGGGGCCCCTCCGCCTCGACGCCTGCCGGGGGAAGGCCCGTGCTCCCGCACAGGGGAGGGCGTCAGCCGCGAGGGCCTGGCCGGAGACGGCCTCGGCGTCGCGCGCTGGGGACCTGAACCCGTCCGCTCTCTCGGCTTGCCGGCGTGTGGCCTGAAGCCGTTTGGGTGAGGGCTGGTCATCCAGAGAGGGGCCTCGCGGCGGGAAAGGGCAGGCTCTCCTTGTCTGGCTCTCCCTTTCCAGGGCTCCCGCTCTCTCCCGCTCTTTTTGTTCTCTCTCTCTCTCTCTCTCTTTCTCTCTCTCTCTCTCCCTCTCTCTCTCTCTCTCCTCTCTTTCTCTCTCTATCTCTTCTCGTTTCACGCTTGGCTCGGTATCGGAATACACTGCGTGCCTCTATGTTGTGTTCCGTAAGAGAAAGGATAGCTTAAGACAATCGGCGAATGAGCTGAGGGCACGCCCACTCCGTGCCCAGCGGCACGGCTGTGGAGACGATGTGGGTGTTTTCATTACAGGAAGTGCCCCATGGAAAGACAACCGTTTGAACATGCTCAACCGTGCCGAAACACAGTTCTTGGGTATTCAGTGCCGCGAAGCAACATGATTGGAGCCAGTTTCTTTATTGCTTGCGGCATCACGGGCGTCATGGCTCCCGCTCCCCCCCCTATGACGGAACGCCCCACCCCAGTGCGTTCCGGGAACTGCCGCCGTGCTTTTTGGGATCCGCGTGGGAGTCTGGTCCGCAGTCGTCGTCGTCGTCGTCGTCGTCGTCGTCGTCGTCGTCGACGACGTCGCTCGCTGCTTGTCGCTCGTCGCTCATCGTCTTCGTGCGCGCGGACGCGGCTGAAGCCTGTTTTTTATTCCGGGCCGATGACGGCAATCATCGAGGGGGGGCGGAGGGGGTCGATGTCGTCATGTTTCGCGCCGGCGGCGTTTGGGAATGCTTAAGAATGACGGAGACGGGTAGCGCCAGCATGTAGGTGGCGATTTGTACCACAACGCATGTGTACACCTCAGCGCCCGCGTGCACCACAGTGCCTGAGTACACCACGCCGCCTATGTACACCACAGCGGTCGCGTGCAACACAGCGTTAGTTCGTGCCACCGTGCCTGCGGGCACAATAGCGCTCATGCACACCACAGCGCTTGCGTACACCACATCAGCCGTGTGCAACACAGCACCAGTGCACACCACCATGCCCGCGTGCGTTGCACTGCCTGTGTGCACCACGGCGCCTGTGAGCACCACAACAAGTGTGCGCAACACCGCACCATTGTTGTATATCAAATGTTTAAACGAAACCTTTATGACAAAATGGAGCACTTGTGGATCCCACAGAACATCGGAAAATAATCGTTATGGACAACGGAACGCCGCTGGAATCTACGAGTCCTCCCGAATCCGCCCGCGTCACCCTAATTCCTCCCATCTGCGTCCAGGGGGCTCGAGCTAAATTGGCCGTCCGAGAACCAAGTGGACCGATACAATAGACCATTATGCGGTGCGCGCTGAGATGCGCACGTGTGTTGTAGCGCCAACTCACACGACAGGGGGTAAGGAGGAGGAAGAGGAGGAGGAGAAGGAGGAGGAGGAAGAGGAGGAGGTGGTGGAAATGGACGAGGATGGGGGAGGATTCCTGGCGTGGCGTCTAGTTGTCCGCAGCGGATCCTCACGTGCATGCTCCTTCTACCTGTCCTATGCACGCAGGCATTGTGGTGTACACCAGCGCTGCGTTGCACGGATGCTGTGGTGTAGACGCGCGCTTTGGCGTGGACAGGCGCTGCGGTGCACGGAAGCTCTGTGGTGTTCACAGGCGCTGTGTTGAACATGGTAGCTGCGGTGTGCACATGTACACCGGCGCTGTAGTGTACGCGAGCATTGTGGTGTACACAGGCGCTGCGTTGCACACAGTTGGTGCGGTTTACGCATGCGCTGTGGTATACACGCGCGCTGTGGTGCACGCGAGCGTTGTGGTGTACACCGGCGCAGTGGGGCATATCGCCCCCTACATGCTGCTCGCGTCGTCGTCGCTCGTCGCTCGTCGCGTCGCGCGCGCGCGCGGCTGCGGTGCCAGAGCCACACGGCGGGGGGGGCGTTACGTCATGATCCCCCACTGGCCCCACCCCCCATCCCATGACGCCCGTCATCGCCGAACACAGAGAAACGCGCTCTTGTTGCGTTCTGACAATCCTAAATTGTGCTGGGGCTTGAGCACCGCGAGTCAAGTGGACTGTTGCATCCTGGCGATCCTAAATCGTGCCAGAACGCTGGTCCTGACACCTCCGCCATACGAATCCTTGAAACTGTGGCAAACTTGCAAAGCCAATGTTCTCACTGCTAAGGCGACAGCCACATACATGTTGAAAAAGAGCTGCTCTCCATCCTTGAAGCTGTTGCAAGCTTTCAACAGGCATGCGCGCGGCTCTGGGGCGAAAGCCAAATTCCTAAAATCACTTGCGTCGTCGAAGCTGCTCCAATCCTTGTAATACGAATGTGCGCGGCGCCCAGGCGAGAGCCGTATGTTGAAAAGGACCCGCACTCCATCCGTGAATATGCTATAAGTTTGTTTTGCGAAGATGCGCTCAGCTAAGGCGCGAGCCATATTTTGAAAAAGGCCCGCCCTCCAACCGTGAAGCTGTTGCAGCCTCCAAGCTTCAGGATCATGGGTGGCGAGGGAAGCTCATGCACGCGCAACGCCCAGCCCGCCCGGCCGACACGTCCAGGGGTGCGGCAGCAAGGAACTATTTATACGCAAAAGAGATGGAGGAGGGGGAGGAGGAGGAGGAGGAGGAGGAGGAGGAGGAGGAGGAGGAGGAGGAGGAGGAGGAGGGGGGAGGGAGGAGGAGGAGGAGGAGGAGGAGGAGGGGGAGGAGGAGGGGGAGGAGGAGGAGGAGGAGGAGAAGGAGGGGGAGGGAGGGAGACGTTGCTAGGAGGATGAGGAAAACGGGATCGGAAGGAAGAGGGAAACGTGGGGGGAGGGACGATGTAGGGAGAGGGAAGGTGAAGGAAGAAAGAAGCGGCAAGTGGGGAAGGCAGGCGGGAAGGAGGAGGAGGGGGGGAGGAGGAGGAAGGCAGGAATGGAAAAGGACAGTTGGAGAATGATGAGGATGAGCAGGAGGAGGCGGAGGAGGAGGAGTTATTTACGAGGATAAAGCTAGGGGTTGGGGTCTCGAGGCGGAGGATCCATCGAGGAGCAGCCGCCAGACGCCGCGGGCCCCCTCTGGCGGAGGCGATGAGGGCCTGCCCACGAGCGTTGCTGTTACGCATCGGTATGGGCAGAAGTACTCCACCCTCGTGCTCGCGACGCAGAGCGTGCCGCGCTCGGAGCCGAGGGAGGGAGGGGCAGAGAGCTGTTGTTTGTTTGTTTCCTCATCGCCGGGCGACCGCGTTGGGGGGGGGAATTTGTGGGCCCCGGAAACGGCATGGCCGTTTTTTCACCGTTTCCAAACACATGTCTCTTGAAAATGGAAACGGCAAAAAAAACGGCGACCGCAAACGGCAAAAAAACGGCTCCAGGATTGGAACCGGAGCCGGAAGCGGTCAAACAACGGCGACGCGGAACTGGTAAAAAAACGGCGTCGGAACCGGCAAAAGAACGGCCAAACGGAACTGGTAAAAAAACGGCCCTGTCGTTTCCAGGGCCCACTAGGGGGGGAAGGGGGCCAGTAACGTCACGTTTCGCGTCGACGCCGTCAGGGAATATCCAGGAATGACCAAAGACAGCTCGGAGGTCAGCACGGATCGTGACGTCCCCTGTGCCCAGTCGAACTCTTGCGGCCCGCGAGCCCCATCGCCGCAGGCGACGGCTTCTCGTGCAGACAGGCCTTTCTTATGGCCTGTCCCGCAGGTCTCCTCCAGCGGAGGAGGATGATAAGGACTTTTCGAGTTTCGCGACATGACAGTTGAGCGCAATGCATGCAAAGGGCGCAGCCTGAACACCTCCCGCAGAGCCCGCGACTGTCCTCGGAGAAGCGAATCCCAGCGCTGCCAAGGGGGAGGAGGGCGAGGAGGGGGGATGGGGGGTAGATGAGGAAGGGGGGGAACG